CATTAGGAAGGTTGAGAACCGCTGCTCTAGTGGGTGTAGAGCCAGCAAGCGCTCGGGTCCCTAACACACTCTGCGTCCCCAGCCAGCCCTGGCCCTGTGCTTCCTGGTTGGCCAGGAGCCTCGGGAGGCACCCCCAGCTCACACCCCACCCCTTCCACGAGCGTTTCAGGTCCTGCATCAACTGCTGCTGCTTCTGACTCTGTCTCATATGCGATGGTGATTAAACACAGAACGGTCTCTCAGTTATTGTGTGTATTTTTTCCCTTATGACTCTTGCTTCTCCAAAAACATTAAATTGTCTTCGCTGGAAAAAGTATCCTGGTCATTTTAACACTCCTGTAGCTTATTTCAAAATAATGCAGCGGTACAAATTGAATATAGACACAAACCTAAATTTATTATGGAGACACATTTACTTTTTCTCAGAAAATGAGAGCAGCGCCTCTTATAATACCAAGCATAAATTTATAAACAACGTACCTTTTTATTCACAACAAAGCCAATGGAAACAGCAACGAAAGGAAATCTTTAAAAAAAAAAAGCACATACACAAACACAAATTTACAAAGATAGAACATATTCTAAGCAACTTTTTAAAAATAACTGCTCACACAATTCTCATATCCAGTCTTCCCTCCCCCAAGTCCAGTGTGCAGCCCTCTGAGCACGCGGTGGGGGTGGGGGGGCCACATGTACAGGTGCCTACACATGGGACGCTCCTACAGGCAGGAATCGTCTCTGAAAGGACCCACCAGAAACTGACAGAGTGATCTATCCCTATAAACACAGGTATGAACTGTACAGAATAAACTGTTACTTGTCTGAACTCTAACACCCAACTTGGAGCTTTAAAAGTTGAAGCTTACTTTTACTTTGAAAAGTAAAGTGTTAGCCACTTGTTGCTATGACACTTTGAACACATAGGTTGTAATTTGTGACTCAGAAGAAAATCAAGATGAAGAAAATAGACAAAGTGGGTTCAATATTCACTTCAAAATAAAACTTTAAAAAACTTTCTAGCTTTCATTTGCACAAAGATGAGATCATACTACACACTGGCTTCTAATCTCTTACAATACGCTGTGAGCGCCTTTGTCCATGAGCACCCCGGCACACACAGAGACCAGGTCTCAGCCTGACAGGCGTCGGCAGCTGTCTTAGTAACGACAGGCGCAGCTACAAGGCAGCTTCCAATGTAACGTCGGGTGTAATCCCACCGCACTGGGCGACTCGTGTGAACCCTCGCTGGCCATCCCATCGAGCTTTCTTCTAGAGCTAATCTGCTGAGTTTTATGCTTACTCTGCGAGGCGCTGACTAAGCTCTTCTATAAACGTCCCACTTACTGAGTCCCAACAATTCTCTGAGGCCGGTACCATTCATACGCTCACTTCATAAGAAGCAAACGACAGCTGAGGCCCAGACGCACTGAGCAACCTGCCCCGGGTCCCCGAGCCTGGGAAAAGCCCCCGGATCCCGGCCCGTGTGTGTGGACCCTGACAGCCAGGTGCTCTTCAATAGCTCTTCTCCTGGACTGAACCCATCCCCACAGACAACCCTCCATGTTGACCCCACTCATCCTTAACCGATCCCAAAGCAGCAGTGATGCTGGCTTCCATTTGTGTGTGACTCCGAGTGAGAAAAAGGGGGTGAACAGGGCTCCTCGTTGCACAAGTCCGCATACTAACATTTCATCATCTGCGTAACGCATTTTACTCTAC